AGTCAATACTAGACGCATGCTTCCATCAAGATGTTTCCACAAACTGCTCGTGCATATGACACTGTGAAAAGTGCAATGTGGGCTGCAAAGTGAACGAACTTACCAGTGCTATGTTTCTATTTTGACAAGATAAAGGATGCAATTTGCAGCGCAGTGGTCGAAGTACCTGCCTCACATGTGACGTGGTGAGATCCCAGTACATAGTAGTATATGTGAAAAGTGCAATGTGGGCTGCAAAGTGAACAAACTTACCAGTGGTATGTTTCTATTTTGACAAGATAAAGGATGCAATTTGCAGCGCAGTGGTCAAAGTACCTGCCTCACATGTGACGTGGTGAGATCCCAGTACATAGTATATGTGAAAAGTGCAATGTGATTTAGGGCTGCAAAGTGAACGAACTTACCAGTGGTATGTTTCTATTTTGACAAGATAAAGGATGCATTTTGCAGCGCAGTGGTCAAAGTACCTGCCTCACATGTGACGTGGTGAGATCCCAGTACATAGTATATGTGAAAAGTGCAATGTGATTTAGGGCTGCAAAGTGAACGAACTTACCAGTGGTATGTTTCTATTTTGACAAGATAAAGGATGCATTTTGCAGCGCAGTGGTCAAAGTACCTGCCTCACATGTGACGTGGTGAGATCCGCGTGGGTTCAAATCCCGCAACGGCCAGGGACTTTTCCTCGCAATCTTCGAAGTCTGGCGTGTCCTTTCTATTGGACTAAGGGCCGGGTCAATTTGATTGCAATAATAAATATATAAGATGTCAGGGTGTCAGTGCTGGGTTGGGACAGCGTCCCTCGTCTCAGAAGCTGCCAATCGACGTCGTTACATTTTTTATCGACGTGGTGTGATTGGTCCAGGAGATTTATAGTGCATGCCATTGGTTGAAATTGTTTTTCGACAAGATCGCGCACCTGTTCGTGGTGAAACGATGATGGCCGCGGCGGACCACAAGGCCCGGGGAAATGCCGCGTTTCAGCTCGGTCATTTTGCCGAAGCCATAGACTGCTACTCACTGGCGCTTGATCGAGATGGGGATCCAGCGTGGAACGCCGCCATTCTATGCAACAGAGCGTTTGCAAGACTACAGCTGGATTCACCTGACGAAGCCGCCCTGGCCGAGGGAGACTGCTCGTCCGTGCTTCTCCTCGATCCTGTCAACATCAAAGCGCTGTTTCGACGTGCGCAGGCGCGGATGGTGTTGGGAAACTTGAAGGTGCATTGCCAGCATTGTTGGAAGTGTGCTTCACAAGAAATGTGTAGGATGCCAAAGCAGACCTTGAATCCATCGTGGCAATGGAGCCAGGGAATCCACAAGCAAATGCGTCGCTGGATATAGTTCGTGTGCAACTCGCCGCGCAAACGAAGAACGGCGTGTTCAATCCTGAATTCCAAGCGCAACTTCTCAACAACACTGCGCAAGTGAGCGTACTTCCCCCTGCCGTACCTCTTCGCCTCAAGTCACCGCGTCAAGACAAGGCAAACGCTACCAAAAGCCATCGGTACAATGAGGACTTTGCCGAAGCATTGCGGCAATGCTCCATTGTCGCCCATAACGAAGCCCAGTCTCACGCCACGCGCGACCAGGAAGTCGCCAAAGCTGCGTGGGACGACCTGCAAGCGCTCGAACTGACCGTGACCAAATCCGCGCGCGGGCTCTCAAAGCAAGTAAAAAAGCACGCAAAACGAGTGCCAACCCAAGCCAAACCCCTAGTTACGAGCACGGCACAGCCAGCACCGATCAAGGCACACACGGATGCTCTGTGGGCCCAACTGTTGGAAGATGAAAGGAAGACGCGCTCCGTGTACAAATCCAAAGTTCGAAGCAAGAAGGCTTACGGATAGTTAGTGAACGATACACAAGAGCTGCGGTACACTACAGTGATAGTCATTCCCATTGCTTGTACATACCCCTAACTGAACTACATAGTGTACACGTGCACACGAAGTTTTCCAGTTCTGGCCACGTTTGTAGTTGGGATTGACACACTGGTGCTGTTGACTTGGGGCGGTTCCACTGCGCGTGCACAACAGTCTTGGAGACTCTGTCGTCTACAATATCACGTCATATTTGGTGCACATGATGAATGCATCCATCCATGTCAAAGGAACGAAGCTTTGGAATCACTCGAGTTGTGATGAAATTGGGATTAGCCAGCTGTGGCAGCAGCTGGAAGCCAGAGCTTCAAAAGACTTCCAGCTTCACATGATGAGTCCGCAGAATATACTTCAATTTCGTATGTCGACCGAATTGTATCCATGGAATCCGATGGAACTGGGACGTAATACTGAAACCAAGGTCTACGCATTCGATGGCTGTCAACGTGATGGTGGCACTTTGACACGTCGAAAACGTACCAAGTTCAACTTTCAAAGAAACATAATCTATATTTATTATGCATGATTTATATTAAATGATTTGGACCGCACTCCCTGTATGTTTTCATTTGAAGCAAGTATACAATCCTTACCCAAAATAGGCATTTCAGCACGTGTCCTTCTCGAGAAATGTATCAGATCGCCTGGCTCAGCCAATCCCATGTCCCTTAGACCTGTGGTGCCAGAAGGTCTGGAATTCAAATGCAAGATCCGTTTCGACGAGGGGCTTTCCTCGCGAATATAATATTAATGTCATCTCATCTTTACTTCAAGTCAACATTATTTGTGCTTAAAATAATATCCTCCGAGGTGGTTTTTTTGAGTCGTGCGTTGAGGCCACGACTTTGAATCGCATAAGGCCAGCCACATCATTTGCGATGTTCCGCTCCATCACTCACCTCCGCAGCCGTGCGGCCATCGTACGAACCAACCACACCATCATGTTGATGGCCTTCTTGTTCTCATGCTTGTGGACTATCCTTCTGTAGAGCAAGGCGTCGCATGTGTCGCGCGTGTTCTCAACCGTGGACGCGTACCGGTTGACGGACCAATTCGCGCGCCGCCACATTGGTGCCGGTGAAGAAGACACGGCGGTCATGCTACAGAAGATTGGCGTCAACTCCATCGAAGAGTTGATCGGCAAGACCGTCCCATCCGAGATTCGCTTGACCAAGCCGCTCGACTTACCCGAAGCGTTGAGCGAAAGCCAGGCGTTTGCCGCGCTCAAGAAGATCGCGTCGCAAAACAAGACGTACAAGTCTTTCATCGGCGCCGGTTTCAACGACACATTGACCCCGTTCGTGATCAAGCGCAACGTGCTTGAAAACCCCGGCTGGTACACTGCGTACACGCCGTACCAGGCCGAAGTGTCGCAAGGCCGCCTGGAAATGCTCCTCAACTTCCAGACCATGGTGAGCGACTTGACCGGCTTCCCCGTGGCCGGCGCGTCGTTGCTGGACGAGGCCACCGCCGCCGCCGAAGCCATGGCGCTGTGCAACGGTGCGTTCAACGGCAAGCGCGCCAAGTTTTTCGTGTCGCGCGACGTGCATCCCCAAAACTTGGCCGTGTTGGAAACCCGCGCCGAAGGTTTCGGCATCGAGTTGGTCGTGGGAAACCCTCTCACCGACTTGGACTTCTCCACCAAGGAGTACTCGGGCGCGCTCTTGCAGTACCCCAACACTTTTGGGTCCGTTGAAGACTACACCAAGCTCACGGACGCGGCCAAGGCGAACCAGTCCCTTGTGGTTGTGGCCACCGACCTCTTGGCATTGACGCACTTGAAGAACCCCGCCGAGTTTGGCGCCGACATCGCCGTCGGGTCCGCCCAACGCTTCGGGGTGCCGCTCATGTTTGGCGGTCCCCACGCTGGTTTCATCGCCACGTCCGAAAAGTACCATCGCAAACTTCCCGGCCGCATCATCGGTGTGTCCAAGGACTCCCGCGGTGAGCGCGCGCTGCGCATGGCCATGCAAACCCGCGAACAGCACATTCGTCGCGACAAGGCCACCAGTAACATCTGCACGGCGCAGGCGCTTCTGGCCAACATGGCGGCGTCGTACGCCATCTACCACGGCCCCGACGGCCTGCGCAAGATCGCCGCGCGCTCCAACCTCTTTGCCGCGACCTTGGCGGCGGGTGTGCGCAGCCACACCAAGGCCACACTCGTCCACGACCACTTCTTCGACACGGTTGAGATTGACTTGGCCGGCTCCGGCCTCTCGGGCACCGACGTGCAGCGCCGCGCTAACGCCCACGAAATCAACGTCCGCGTGATCAGCGACTCCCGCGTGAGCGTGTCCTTTGGGGAGAGCGCCGAGCTCTCTGACGTGGGCAAGTTGCTGTATGCCCTTGGCGCCACTGAGGTGGTGTCGGCGGCGGCGCTGGACGCCCTCAAGCCCGCCGCCGCCAAGGTGCAATCGAGCAGCATCCCCGCGTCGCTCCAGCGCACGTCTCCGTTCTTGGAGCACCGCGTGTTCAACTCCAAGCACTCGGAAACCGAACTCATGCGATACCTCAAGTCGCTGGAAGACAAGGACTTGGCGCTCAACACGTCCATGATCTCTCTCGGGTCGTGCACGATGAAGCTGAACGCCGTGGCCGAGCTCGAGCCCGTGTCCTGGCCAGAATTTACCAACGTACATCCGTTCGCCCCCGAAGACCAAACTCTCGGGTACCTGGAAATGATCGACACGCTGCACAAGGCTTTAGCGGAAATCACGGGTTTCGCCGCCGTATCGTCGCAGCCCAACTCTGGCGCGCAAGGCGAATATGCCGGTCTCTTGGCCATCCGCGCCTTCCACAAAGCCAACGGCGACCACCACCGCAATGTGTGCTTGATTCCGGTGTCGGCGCACGGCACGAATCCCGCCAGCGCCGTCATGGCCGGCATGAAGGTGGTTGTGGTCAAGTCGGATGACTCGGGCAACATTGACCGCGTCGACTTGGAGGAAAAGGCCAACAAGCACGCGCACGAACTTGGCGCGTTTATGATTACGTACCCGTCCACGTTTGGGGTGTTTGAAGAAGGTGTCAAGGACATGTGCGACCTCATCCACAAGCATGGCGGTCAAGTGTACATGGACGGCGCCAACATGAACGCCCAAGTCGGTCTGTGTAACCCCGGCGGCATCGGCGCCGACGTGTGCCACTTGAACCTGCACAAGACGTTCTGCATCCCCCACGGTGGCGGAGGACCGGGCGTCGGGTCGATCGGGGTCGCCGCTCACTTGGCGCCGTTCTTGCCCGGGAACCCCGTCGTGTTGACTGGCGGCGAAGGCAACCACGTGGTGAAGAAGGCCAACTTGGCCGTGAGCGCCGGACCGTTTGGATCCGCGGGCATCCTCCCCATCTCGTGGATGTACATCCACATGCTGGGCGAACAGGGGCTAGTCAAGGCGACGTCGCACGCGATTCTGCATGCCAACTACATGGCTAAGACCCTCGAAGACCACTACGACATTGTGTTTCGAGGCAAGAACGGCACGTGCGCGCACGAGTTTATCATCGATATCCGCCCGTTCAAGGCCCACGGCATCGTGGAAGAGGACGTGGCCAAGCGGCTGCAAGACTTTGGCTTCCACTCGCCCACCATGTCGTGGCCCGTCGTAGGAACGCTCATGATTGAGCCCACGGAAAGCGAAAACCTCGCGGAAATGAACCGCTTTTGCCAATCCATGATCCTCATCCGCCAAGAGATTGAGGACGTCGTCCAAGGCAAGATCGCCGTCGAGGACTCGCCGCTCAAGCACGCGCCCCACACTGTGGACGTGGTGACCGCCAACAGCTGGGACCGCAAGTACTCGCGCACCCAGGCGGCGTTCCCTGCGCCGTGGCACAACGAAGGCAAGACCAAGGCGTTCTGGCCCACGGTTGGTCGCGTCGACAATGTGTTTGGCGACCGCAACCTCGTGTGCTCGTGCCCGCCCCTTGACTCGTACATTGAAGAATAAACTCACTACACTTACTTGATGGGGTAACTAACTGTCTACTACTACTTGTCGGGCTCGCTGGTGGTTGATGTATGTAGTATTGATACTAGTAGTGTCCTACTAGTATTAGTTACTTCGAAGTAGCACACGTACCTAGTATTATTCATTTTCAAATTCATCTGACTGTTAGCAAGTTTGGGTAACTGTGTGGACCGGGAGGTTGAACGAACGATGGACTACTGACTGGGTCGTGTGATGAGGACGCTGCTCGCGTTAGCTGATAGACATACCCTGATGTTGGTTGATGTAGATAGATACTGGTACTACATGACAAGTACAGTAAATCCTTCGATACCACATAACAGGGTACAGACAGTAGTAGTACTATACGCCGCCACCGAATTAGTCCGCCGTACTAGTGCATACTTTTGCCTCGAGCAAGATGGGGTCGTCACTGAGGTGGGGGGTTGACGTGCAGAGAGTGAACATGCGTGCTGTGTCACCGACGCACCCGCTGGCCGACACTTGGTCCCGTCGTTCGTCGAAGGCTGGCCTTGGCGGGTTCACCCCCTTGGCACAACATTGCCGGACCATGGGGACTGCCGATCTAACATAACGTTGGTGCGTCTGGGGCGACGACTCGGCGGGGGATCGTACCAAACTTTGAGTTTGACCCCTTTGAAACACAAAATGCAAAGTCAATTTATATTGCGTAGTTTACTACGTCACTGACATGGCCACACGTGTGACGTGGAGGCGACTACAACCTCAATATTATTGTTTCAAGGGACACGTTATGACAAAAATCATCATGTGCTGGGTGGGGGTGGGGGGGGGCTATATTGGACTCATAGCGAGTGGGGGTCTCGGGACGGGGTAAGTCGGTCGATCGAAAACGATTCCGATGGCGTTCCATCGCTGGAGCCGCTGGGGCGAATGGAGTAACTGTCGGACAAATTCGACGGGAACACGGACGACTGAAACGCACGGGGGCTGCTGGTCATGGCGCTTTGCCACAGGTTCGGGGATCCATTTGGTCGACGCACCACCATGTCTTCTGCAGGGGTGCTCGGTCGGGAGATGTCCAGGTCACTGTAGTACTGCTCCTCCTCGTCTGGCATGTTTACTTGCCCCCCTACGACCAACGGCGGCGATTGATCGGCGATGGCGGATGGCGAGACAACTGCCGGGACGGTCCGTAGGAGGTAGCTCGTGGACAAGTTCGATTTGTAGTCCCCTATTTGCGGCGAGCTCAGGTTGCCGCCGCCATAGTTGGAAATGACGTCGTCATCACGACCTTGGTCCTTTCGAGACCGCTTCAGCACAAACACAATGCAGATCCCAGCCGCCAAGGCGCCGATGACACCGCCCAGAACGATCCAAATCACGTTCGAGTTGGCGGTACTTTCAACTGGCATGGCTGTTGGCGCGGGCGGCGAGGCCGCAATGTTTCCAGTCGCATTTGTTGTCGTTGGAGTCACGGTCGTGTCTGGTGTCTTGGTGGGTGTGCTCATGGACGTGGTCACCGGTCGAAGCGACGGTGTGGAAAGGGCAGGAGTTGTTGTGATTGTTTCTATGGTCGTTGCTGGCGCAGTTGTTACAGGAGCCGCGGTGGTCACGGGCGCAGACGTTTCAGTGACTGGTGCCGTGGTAGGTGGCGCCAAAGTAGTAGCAGTCGTGGTTGCTGGAGGCGTGGTGGTTACTGGAGGTGATGTGGTCACTGGAGGCGAAGTGGTCACTGGAGGCGTGGTGGTTTCTGGAGGCGTAGTGGTTACTGGAGGTGATGTGGTTATTGGAGGTGATGTGGTTGCTGGAGGTGATGTGGTTACTGGAGGAGACGTGGTTACAGGAGACGACGTGGTTACTGGAGGCGACGTGGTTGCTGGAGGCGACGTGGTTGCTGGAGGTGACGTGATTACTGGAGGTGACGTAGTGGTGGGCGCGGGAGTGGCCGGAGGAGTCGTCGTGGGTGCAAGTGTAACGGGTTGTGCAACTGTGGTGGACGGCGCTGTGATGGTAGGCGTGGGTGGGTTGGTCGCATTTTGGCCGAGTGCCATCAGCAGTAATGAAAAGAGGATTGGTATGAACTTCATGGTGTAAAGTACTGCGTGCGACGTGCTCGCAGTGAAATTGTGAAATG